AAGCGCCCGCCACCTCGCCCGGCTAGTTTTTTGTATTTTTTAGTAGAGACGGGGTTTCACCGGGTTAGCCAGGATGGTCTCGATCTCCTGACCTCGGGATCCTCTCATCTCAGCCTCCCAAAGTGCTGGGATTACAGGCTTGAGCCACCGCGCCCGGCCGCATCTGTTTCGAATGTGGTTATGGGAGCTGACCCTGGTCCAAGATCTGGCTCAGGCTGGGGTCATAAGCCATAGGCCCCGACATGGCCCCAGGTAAAGAGCCGGTTTGGCAGCAGGGTTAAAGGTCAGGCAGACTCCAGGCACAGGCTACGACCAGGTCAGGTTGGGTTAACCGTAAGACAGAGAAGCTGCACTCTGGTCTAACAGGCACGGAATGGATGGGGTTAGAGCTGTCAGCACTGGGGTGAGGGTCTCTTTGCAGGTCATATGCAGGAAGCTGAGGATCAGGTCAAGGGCATGGGTCTCTGTGGAGCAGGGGGCAAGGTTTGGTGGATTAGTTTGCATCCTCCACAGCAGATACCAAAACGGGATTCAACATACAAGAAACAGATCAATAGAAAGTCAGAGAGGCCAGAGGCCACCAGATGCCCAGTGAAGGTCAGATGGAAGCACCTTGGACGTCCGTGCTAGCCTTCAGGAAGCTCTCAAGCCAGCCATCTGTCTGAGGTCCGCACCTCCAAGGACAGGCTGGGAGCACCCATGGGGGGCACACCCTCAGCACTGGCAGGGACGGGTTTTAGGACACAGCCACATGGATCCTCTCGGTAGCAGCCCCAAAGAGGGAAGCAAGCCCGGCCTCCTTGCTCACTTTGCAACCAGGAGCCAGCCCCCAGGGCAAGCATGTGCTGCCAGCCTAGCAGAGGCATGCCCACACCGCACAGCACGCTGGACAGTCTTGCGGGCAAACCCAACAGTGACGTTATGCTCACTCCAGATGGGGGCTCAGGCGGGAGCGCACTGCGGTGTGCAGGCAGCACCCCGTGCTCCTCCCCTCCCTCATGGTGCCCAGGAGAGTCTGTGCCATCCTGCAGCAGGCTGTCTGCAGTACAGGCATGGCTTGCACCACACAGCTGCCTGTTAGGAATGTGTCCAGCCCCGCCTTGCTCTGGCACTGCCCAGAACCTGGTTGCCCTGCCAGAGGAGTGAGGTTCATGTAAAGTCCACCTGGTCTCTGGAGTGTGACTCTTCCCTGCTGGAATTCCTGGGAGGCTCCAGGTGGCACAGGGGGCTGGTCCCTCCATGGGGATGCTGTGGCCCCCGGGGTCCATCAGACCCACCTGCAGAGAGCCCACCCCAGGGCAAATCTTCCAACGGGGTCTAAGATTGGAGGGCAAGAGGGCAGGTGCACCCCGACACTCATTCCCTTTCCACCTCTAGCCAGCGGGCCAGGACAGTCTTGGCCTTGATGCCTAATCTCTAAGGGGCAATGTTGCCAAGAGCTCACTGGTGGCGCAACACTCAAGATGGGGCTCAGGTGTGGCCTATCGCGTGGCATGGCCTTGATGGTCTCAGGGCGCCGAGGCTTTGCCCTGTGTGCCTGCCCATTTCAAATGCTTTCTTGGACCGGGGCTACTCCTACCCCACTCACCCTTTCGAGTTACCCGAAAGGGTTTTCAAAGGAGGACCATGAGTCTGAGAGGCGTTGAGTTTCTCCTACACTGTGGGTGGGAGTGTCTAGGAAGTTCTGTAACTTGGATCTGAGATATCTGGAGTTTGCTTTGTCTCCTATTTCAATGTTAATGTCACTATTCATAGCAATATCCCATGTCTACAAAACATTAAAAAATTAGCCAGGACTGGTGGTATGTGCTTATAGTCCAGCTACTCAGCAGGCTGAGGCGGGAGATCTCCTTGAGCTCAGGAGATCGAGGCTGCTATGAACCATGATTGTGTCACTACGCAGCCTGGGCGACAGAACAGGACCCTGTCTCTTAAAAAAAATTTTTTTTAAAAGTCCGCCGGGCGAGGTGGCTCACACCTGTATTCCCAACACTTTGAGAGGCTGAGGTGGATGGATCACAAGGTCAAGAGATCAAGACCATCCTGGCCAACATGGAGAAACCCCGTATCTAGTAAAAATGCAAAAATTAGCCGGGTGTGGTGGTGCGTGCCTGTAGTCTCAGCTACTTGGGAGGCTGAGGCAGGAGAACTGCGGGAGGCAGAGGTTGCAGTGAGCCGAGATCACGCTACTGCACTCCAGCCTGGCGACAGAGACTCTGTCTCAAAATATACATAAATAAATAAAAATAAAAATAAAATTAAAAAAAAAGATCAGGCCGGGCACGGTGGCTCAAGCCTGTAATCCCAGCACTTTGGGAGGCCGAGACAGGCGGATCACGAGGTCAGGAGATCGAGGCCATCATGGCTAACACGGTGAAACCCCGTCTCTACTAAAAATACAAAAAACTAGCCGGGCGAGGTGGCGGGCGCCTGTAGTCCCAGCTACTCTGGAGGCTGAGGCAGGAGAATGGCGTAAACCCAGGAGGTGGAGCTTGCAGTGAGCTGAGATCCGGCCACTGCACTCCAGCCTGGGCAGCAGAGCGAGACTCCGTCTCAAAAAAAAAAAAAAAAAGATCACTGTTGGGCCTGGATACCAGGTTTTCTGGTGGATTTAATGTCCCAGTTGTAGCTGAGTCCACTGTTCCTTCTCTTTTGCAAGCTCTGCAAGTTGTGTGGCCATTGTGTGCCCTGCTAGAAGCAGGGAAGGCTAGCCACCGTGTGCAGGTAGACTGGTCCCCACCAAGGAAGGCTGTCCACTCTCCCAGGAACAATAACTCCCTGGCCACACCAAGTGTTGTGTGTCCCTCCCTGGACCTGGAGGCCACAGCTGCTGAGCTCCTGCAAGTAAGCAACTTGATGTGACTCTGGACCTGCTTAATTCCCACAGGCCAGGGGACCTCCTCTCTCCAGGCTCTTAGCTCAGGCGAGCAGATGAGGGTGAAATGGACTAAAGGTCAGTTTCTTTAGTATTGCTTCTCCGGGAACCTCCTGTGTGGCCCCAGGAAGACAGGGCCTGTCATCAGTCACACCTGCACCCCTAAAGCACCTGTGGGCCGAGGATGGCCACGCCCTTCTGCGGCACACGCCTCAAGCTCCCTGAAGCAGAGGTTCCTGCCATGCCTCAGCCATGGACATGCCTGGTGGAACTGTCTCACCTAAATCGCCCTGCCCTTCCTCACAGGCAGAGAAACACACAGACAGGGGTGGGCAGGGCCACGGGCCCATTACTCTAGAGCAGCCAAGCCCAGCATGGGGCTCCCCTTAGCTCTAGGGTGCAAAAGAAGCCGGACGATGCAGACACACCTGCACGTGGCCCTGATGTCCCTCCTGATCCTGCATAGGTACTGTCCCCACCCCTACCCACCCTACCCAGATCCAGGACCCCTCAAAAACTCTGCTACCAGCCTTTCCTTCGTACACCACCTTTACTGTGTTTCCCCAGCTCCTGGGCCCCATGGTAGACTGGCCACGTGGCTGCTGGGCTTCTGGCCTTCCTAGGGCTGGCAGCTGGTGGGCAAACACTCTGCCCTGCTGGAGAGCTGCCAGGCCATGCTGGGCACAGGCTAGTGGGGCTCCTGGCTCAGTCCTGATAGCAGTGCCAGGGAGGCGTAGAGTGCACACATGCGGCCCTGGGCCTGCGGCTCCCAGCACACGTGGGGCGTGTCCTCCCCCAGCTCCAGGCCACACTCCTCCAGCAAGACCCAGGCCGGTGCCCCTTCACCCCAGCTGCTCCCCAGGAGCCCGGGGGGCAGGGACACGGTGCTGCGCTCCTGCCATGGGGCACTCTGCTCCAAGAGGCTGCCCACCTGCCAAGACAGGGCAGGAGTTTGTCAGATGGGGAAACCTGGGCACCTTGGGCCTGCCCATACCATCCCTTCTCAGGTGCAACAGGGCCCCTTCCACTGGCTCAGCCCATCCTCCTGCAGCCCGAACCCTCTCACCAGCTCGAGTGGCCCCAACAGGGTCTGCGACTCCAGCGCCTCCGCCAGCAGCTTGTGCTGCGTTTCACTTAGCACTGGGAGAGAGTCAGGTAAGAGGCGGTTCCTGAAGGCCCATCTGGGAACTCCCACCTCTCTCCCTCCCACTCCCCACCTGCCCCCAGGGGCCGCTCACTGGTCAGCGCCCCCAGCAGGTAGACAACGGGGACGGCAAGTTCTGGCACCAGCATTCTGGATTCCAACACCAGGCACTCCAGGACAGCACCTGCTGGACCGTCCAGGGGCTCCACTGGCCCAAGGCTCGAGCCCTGCTCCAGCTGTGGGCATGGGAGGGGCAGGTGAGCCTGGCTGGCTGGGCAGGCCCTGTGTGCCCCGGGCACCCTCCCCTGCTCACCGCCTCCTCCAAGGCTCGCAGGGCCAGCTGGTCCCGCAGCACCCCCTCCAGGCCCTCCAGCAGCAGCTGGCACAGCTCTCTGTCCAAGAGCTCCAGTTCCTTGGAGATGGCCTCCACCTCTGCCCTTAGGCCCTGGAAGTCTTCAGTGAACGTCCCCTCCGCAGGGACCCCATCTGTAGGAACAGAGGAGCTGGCACTGCCTAGGTGCTTACAGGGCCCTGGAAAGCCTTGGTCAGGATAGACAGACTCCAGGGGGCAGAAGGAGAGCCCACCAAAGGTCCCCAGGGCGGTCAGGAGGGCACTGACCTGCCGAGAAGTTGTGGAGGCACCCCATCATGGAGAGGACTGAGGGCAGCTGTGGCCAGGCGCCTACACTCCTGGAAGGCTTGTGGCCTGGTCAGGGGTATGGGAGGGCAGGGCTGGTCAGTGCAGGAGATGGGTGTCTGAGCCAGAGAGGGCTGAGGCCTTCCCTGGGCCGTCACAGCCCCGGTCACCACCTCTAACAATGGCAGCCCAGGGCAGGGAGGGGGCCAGGGAGGCCCAGGGTCAGCTGTCCTGTGTCACCCCTTGTGTGTGTATGGGGGGTGCCCACCGCCTCAGGGGGCTGCCCGGCCTCCCTATGCCCTGAGAACATGAGAAGAAAGCCTCAATTGCCAAGGAAGCGTGCTTTTCCCACTGGACACCCCACGCTGGGGTCTCTCGGTTCTCACCTGTCGGGGGCGGCTGGAAGGTCCTCTGCTTCTTATCCGGGAAGAGAAGGATGTCTGCCAGCCAGGTGGGAACAGACAGGGACAGGCATGTCACCTAGATCCCAGCCTCCCCTCCCCTCCCCTACTGGGAGTTCCCTTCCAGCTCAGGCCCTGCCCAATCACCCACACACCAGAGCACAGGACCTCAGCCACCTGCCAGACACAGGACGTTGTTCAGCCAGGGGCCCACAGCAGCCCATGCTGGCAGGTAGCTCTCCCCAGGCCTCCCTGCTTCTCTTCCAGAGCCTGGGCCCGAGACACCCCCAACTCCAGCTCACCCAAGTCAGAGTTAATAACCAGCTGGGCCACTCGGAATGCGAGGATGCTGCCCGAGGGGATGGTGACCGTCTTCTTCTGGCTCAGGTGGCCCTGGCCCTCACCCTGAGGCATGAAGATGGGCTCAGGCCTGGGCCCTGGGCACCAGACTGTGGGGTGTGGGTGTGGGCTGGGTGCGGGTGTGGGCTGGGTGCAGGTGTGGGCTGGGTGCTGGTGTGGGCTGGGTGCAGGTGTGGGCTGGGTGCTGGTGTGGGCTGGGTGTGGGTGTGGGCTGGGTGCAGGTGTGGGCTGGGTGCTGGGGGCAGGCCTGCCACCAGGTGACTTCAGCTCCGCAGCCAAGCACAGGGCTGGGAGCTGCTCTGAGGGGCCTTGGCAGAGCTCAGCCCCACAGCCTCCATCACCCGCCGCTGCATGCCCATGTGGGGCCAAGTGTGGCCCGGGGCTGGCTACATACCTGCAAGCACATGGCTCCCGGCAGGGAAAACTGGCCCGAACCCTCCCGCTTGTGGGTCTGTGTGACTTCCACCTCCTTCTGCGTCTGTAGCACCTCCGTCACCACATACACGTTGTCCCCGCGGCTCCGCAGCTGCTGCAGGATTTTGTGCTCTGGCTGCTGCAGGTGCCTGTGGTCCGAGAAGCCACAAGCTCACTGGGCCGCAGTCCCCGAAGATGTCTTCCCTCCCCTCACAGCCCCATGCCACTGGGGGAGGTGGTGCAGAGGGGCCTCCAGATGTCTGTGGATGCCAGGGCACCGGCAGCCTCTCTGTGGGCTCCCCACGGGGACGGGATCCCATGGGGAAAGGTGGACTCGGGGACTCCAAGTCCAGACTTGGGGAGCAGCCCCCTCATCTGGGCCCCTATGTTCACACCACCACTTGTCCTCACAGCAGCCTGGGGCTCAGTCTGGTCCTTAGGATCCAGTCCTGGCAGCTGAGGCCCCAGATGACCCCTGCAGCGTCCTTCCACAACCCGGTTCCAGCCACAGCGCTCCTTTGCCTTTGGGACTTTTCAGATGCCCCAAGGTTGTGACCTTCCCAAGAGCAAGGCTGGGACTGGGCACAGTGGCTCACCCTGTAATCCCAGCCCTTTGGGAGGCCGAGGCAGGAGGATTGCTTGAGACCAGGAGTTCAAGACCACCCTGGCCAAGACAGCAAAACCTCACCTCAAAAAATAATTTAAAAAATAAATAATTTTTTTTTTTTTTTTTTGAGACAGAGTCTTGCTCTGTCACCCAGGCTAGAGTGCAGTGGTGTGATCTCGGCTCACTGAAAGCTCCGCCTCCCGGGTTCACGCCATTCTCCTGCCTCGGCCTCCTGAGTAGCTGGGATTACAGGCGTCTGCCACCACACCCGGCTAATTTTTGTGTATTTAGTAGAGACAGGGTTTCACCATGTTCACCAGGCTGGTCTTGAACTTCTGACCTCAGGTGATCCACCTGCCTCAGCCTCCCAAAGTGCTGGGATTACAGGCGTGAGCCACCACACCCGGCTAAAAATAAATAAATAAAAGCAGGGTTGCTTGGGGTCGGTGGGGCCCTGCCCTCTTTGGGCCCACCTCTCATGGAGCAGGGTCTGCCAGGTGTTCGGGTCCACACTCAGTGAGTACACATGCATTGAGGTGCTGGAGCTGTCAGACACCGAGGCCCCGCCTGCGATCTTCGCCTGTCCTGGGGCTGACAGCTCCACGCCGCCCCGTAGCTGCCCATCCACGGCGTCGTAGAAGTGGAAGGTGCTGCCACGCTGCAAATCTAAAGCAAGACCAGACCTGAGGCCCTGCCCACCCACCCCGCCTCTCCCCTGCCCCCACCAGCCCTGTCCCATAACCAGGGCAGAGGGACCTTTGGAAAAGCCCTGCCCTCTGGAAGGGAGGCCCAGAGCTAGAGCCTGCAGAGCACGGCGGGTGGCTGGCTGGACCTGGCCCACTGCCCTCTCCCACCCAGCCTCCCTGGGGCTCTGCCTCAGCACCACGTCAGGCACCTGGTTCTGGGGCATCCGGCTCCAGGATGTCCTTGATTGACAGGTTGAGAGGCTTATAACAGGGTTTCCAGAACCATGAGCTTGAGGGCTTCCTGACCACCAGGAAGTAGGGCTGGAAGCCAGGGGAGTCCTTTGGGCTGGTCATGGGGATGAGCTCCCCACTGCGGTCCAGCTCCTGGACCACTCTCCGGACCACCCACTCAAAGGCTGACCCCATGCTCCTGAGGAGGGAAAATGGGTGAGGCATTGTGCCCTCCGCGGGAGGGCAGGAGGGAGTGGGAGAAGGGTCAGCACCTGGATGCCTCCCATGGTGGGGGACTCCCTCCCTCCAGAGCAGGCCTGCTCAGCTCATCCTGGGATGCTCCCGCTGGCAGAAAACTCCTGTCCCCGGCTGCTCCCCAACACAGAAATAGTGTCCTCCCTGCTGTCTACGGGGCCATGAGCACCTCCAGCCCGGGACAGTGGGGCCTGATGCCCAGACCTGCTCTAACACAGAGGGCTCTGTCCGCTAGAATGGTTGCCTCTGGCTGCGAGGAAACAAGCTGTCACCTTCTGAAAAGGCACAGGGACTCACTGTAAGACCCAGCCAGAGTGTCGCCCCATCCCAGCTGCGTCCTCCAGGGCCTTCTCTGTGTCTAGGCCACCTGTCCAAGGCTGAGGCTTCAGGCGTCAGAGGCCATAGCGGGCCTCTGCTGGAATACGGGTCACCTGGGCCCCAGTGGAGGGGCCGCGGCTGCCCCAGGAAGCCTCTGAGTGCTGGCCCTGCTGAAAGTGGAGGCTGGGTCCAGAAGGCAGCTGGGGGCGGGACGAACACCAGCCCGGACACCTGGACCTGGACGGCGGACCTGGGAGTCAAGCCCAAGCCCAGGTCCAAAGGCGGGGCCCCTGGGCTGGCCAAGGGCAGCCTTCCCCGCAGCCTGGAGCTTCCCTCCCCGCAGCCCGGACCTTCCCTCCCCGCAGCCCGGACCTTCCCTCCCCGCAGCCTGGACTTTCCCTCCCCGAAGCCTGGACCTTCCGCTCCAGTGTGCGGCGCGGAGCCTTCCGGGTGAACGCTGGGACCGTGGACGCAGGGGCGCAGCAAGGTCAGCATCCCCGACCCGGGAGCCAGCGACCGGCCCCACCCAGGAGCTCCAGCCAGGCCGGGGGAGGGAGCGGGGCAGCAGCTCACCGTGACCGTCGGTGGCCCGAGGGGCGCGTCTGGTCTCCCTGGGAGCTGTCCGGCGAGCGGAATTCCGCGGAGGTGCCCAAACCTAAAAGTGAAACTGCGACCCGACGCAGGGCCCGCCCAGGACACCCTCCCGGAACTGTCCCGGAGAGCCCGCCCCCGGCCCCTTTCCTGCCCCCTCTTCCCGCAAGTCGGCCTGGAGCATCAGCCTCGTGCGTCCCGAGGAACCTCGGCCTGGCGCCCCATCCTGCTAGGCTCAAACTTCGTAGCGCTTTGTGGTTTTTCTTAAAATTCTGGACCTGTGCCTGGGCAGATCACCTGAGGTCGGGAGTTCAAGATCAACCTGACCAACATGGTGAAACCCCGTCTCCACTAAAAATACAAAATTAACCGGGCGTGGTGGCGCATGCCTGTAGTCCCAGCTATTCGGGAGGCTGAGGCAGGAGAATCGCTTGAACCTGGGAGGCGGAGGTTGAGGCAGGAGAATCGCTTGAACCTGGGAGGCGGAGGTTGCAGTGAGCCGAGATCATGCCATTGTACTCCAGCCTGGGTGGCAGAGTGAGACTCCCTCTCAAAAACAAACAAACAAACAAACAACTTTGGGCCTGTGCCAAAGGGTCTGGGCAGATCTTCCAAAGATATACAAAATGTAGAACTTGCCCTCAAGCAAATGCAAAGATGCTCAACATACTTAGTCATCAAGGAAATGCAAATGGAATCCACAGAGAGATACTGCACACCCACAAGGATGGTCGTATTACTAAAGGTGAATAACCAGCACGGGATGACATGGAGTCACTGGAACGCTGTGCAGTGCTGGTGGGAATGTCAACCCATGTGGCCCTCTGGAATAAGCCTGGCAGCTCCTCCAAGAGTCACCCTGTGACCCAGCAATTCCACTCCTAGCTCCACCCACAGGAACCGAAAGCAAAGACTCGAACAGATGCCTGTGCACCAAACTTCGCGGCAGCATCCTTGGCCATACGGCAGCGTCCTTTGCCATAGCAGCAAGGTGGAAACCCCATCCATTCACTGAGGCATACATAGACTAAACATGGCCAGTCCAGGCGCTGGAATCCAGGCCATGGAACGGCGCCCACGGTCAAAAGGAACAAGACCCTGAGGCACTGGACGACACAGACGGACCTCGGAGACATCATGCTAAGTGAAAATCCAGGCACAAGGAGCAGATGGCGTGATCCCGCTCACATGACGTGTCCAGAATGGGCACGTCCAGAGGGCAGAAGGGAGATGGCGCTGCCGGTGTCCGGGGGAGGGGGTGGGAGCGACGGTTGCTGGTTTGGGGTTTCTTTCTGGGGTGAGGAAGTGTTTTGATATTGGCCGTGGTGATGTTTGCATACCTCTGAATATGCTAAAACCCACAGAATTGCACACTTTAAATGGATGAATTGTATGATATGGGAATTATATAATTATGTCTCATTAAAGCCGTTATTTAAAAAATCTAGTGCCCAGTAGCAACACCCAGTCTCGGCACAGGCTCCCTCAGTGCCCTGCTGACCTAAGTCATGGTGGGCCCGGGGCAGGGGCCTTGGGCCCGCCCCTGTACATGGTAGTCCTCACACCCGGCCCTCCCAGCTGCTCTGAGGCTGTGGATGGGGCCATTTGGGCTTGGGCCCGACTGCCAGGCCTGAACACAGTGGGGACGAGGTGGTGCCCTGTGGGTCCCTTCTTGTGCTGTCTCCTGGCTCTTTTGCGTATTTTTTATTGTTTGTTTTGTTTTGTATGAGGCAAGATCTCTCTGTCGCCCAGGCTGGAGAGCAGTGGTGCAATCCCCGCTCATTACAACTTCGACCTCCTGGGCTCAAATGATCCTCTCTTGTCAGTCTCCTGAGTAGCTAGGACTACAGGTGCTCAGCACCACACCTGGCTAAGTTTTTGTTTTTGTTTTGAGACTGAGTCTCGCTCTGTCACCAGGCTGGAGTGCAGTGGCGTGATCTCAGCTCACTGCAACCTCTGCCTCCCAGGTTCAAGCGATTCTCCTGCCTCAGCCTCCCGAGTAGCTGGGACTACAGGCGTGCACCACTGTGCCTGGCTAATTGTGTGTGTGTGTGTGTGTGTGTGTGTGTGTATGAGCTGGAGTTTTGCTCTTTTTTGCCCAGACTGGAGTGCAATGGCATGACCTCAGCTCACTACAATCTCTGCCTCCCAGGTTCAAGCAATTCTTCTGTCTCACACTCCGGAGTATCTGGGATTACAGGTGCCTGCTACCACACCAGGCTAATTTTTTTGTATTTTTAGTAGAGATGGAGTTTCACCATGTTGGCCAGGCCGGTCTCGATCTCTTGACCTTGTGATCCGCCCGCCTTGGCCTTCCAAAGTGCTGGGATTAGAGGCGTGAGCCACCACACCTGGCCCTGAGTTTTTAGAATTATTTAATTTTTAGTAGAAAGGTCTCATTATGTTGCCCAGGCTGGTCTTGAACTTCTAAGCTCAAGCGATCCTCCCGCCTCAGCCTCCCAAAGTGCTGGGATTCCAGGGCTGAGCCACTACACCGGGCTTGGGTACTGTTTTGCAGACGAGCTGGGTCTAAGGTTTCATCTCAGGACACACTGCTGGGCAGAGCTGGCTTTCCTCCGTGACCCCGGCAGCCAAGGAGCCCACACACTGCTGCCCCTGGAAGCCAGCGCCCTGGGGTGTGGCAGCCCGTCCCTGCTGGGTGACAGGGCCAGCACGTGGTGAGCTGTTGTGCTGCCGTCTCCATGGTGAAGATGGAACGAGCTGGGCACACAGCATCCCTGCAAGGCCGCAGGTGTTGGGGGCTGCTTCCCCCTGCCCTGTCCTAGCAGCCACTCCTGAGGGGTCAAGGTCCTGGCTGGGGCAGGGTTGGGCAAGGAGGCTGCAGGCTCTTTTGCTCACCCAGATCCTGCAGCCCAACCTTGAGCCCAGCTGGAGGTGTTCAGGGCAGGGGTGTTGTGGCAGCCTGGGGCTCTGCACCCTCCACTCTTCACCACCACATTCTGCCTCTTGGCCTTTCCCTCCAAGACCTCTGGGGCCACAGCAGACCCCCACCCTGCCTGGCTGGCCTGGCCTGAGCCTCACCCCGAAGGCTCTGTCACGCTCCCTCATTCATCCAACAAATGTGTATTAGCACCTGCTGCTAGGTGATCTTCCAGCAAACAAGACAAGGTCTCTGCCCTGGTAGGTCTGAGGCTAGTACGCTGAAGGGGATTTCTGATGGTGTGTGCATTGGGATGCTGCAGCCACAAATAACTGGAAATTCAGAAGGAAACGTTATCTTAGGTAATCAGAAACCCAGAACTGCTGTGTACCCCAGGCTGAACACAGGCAGGCCTGAGAGCTTTGGCTGGTGGTGGGCACCTAAAGCAGGGGGTACCCAACTCTGCCTGGCGGGCTTCTAGCTCTGGTCCAGCTGGAGCCCATTAGCTGGGTGTGGGCCCAGAATCCTTGCTCATAGTGGCAGGAGACTCCAGGAGCCTGAGTAGCGACTAATGAACGCGTTTGTGCGCGTTTGCATGCACGTGCGTGTTGTGTGGGCGTTGGGCGCGTGTATGCAGTGCGTGTTTGTGTGCGTGTGTATGCACGTGTGTGTTGTGTGCATGCTTGTGTGCTTGTGCATGCATGTGTGTTTGTGCACGTGTGTATGCACGTGCGTGTTGTGTGCGTGTTTGCGCGCATGTATGCACGTGCGTGTTGTGTGCGTTTGCGCACGTGTATGCACGTGTGTGTTGTATGTATGTTTGTGCGTGTGTGCACGCATGTGCGTGTTATGCGTATGTGTATGCATGTGTGTGTTGTGCGCATGTTTGTGTGTGCATGCATGTGCATGTTGTGTGCGCGTTTGCGCGCGTGTGCACGCACGTGCGTGTTGTGTCCACGGGTTTGTGCTCACATAGTGCATGTACACGTGCATTTGCTCATGTGCTCCAGCTCGTTGACGCAGGCACGCGTCTGCATTTAGAAGCATGTAAGTGGGACTTTGTGTTCCTGTGTGTGACATGTTGCTGTGTGTGTTCATGTGCAGGTCAGGGTGCGCAGCAGGTTTCACGCCCGTGGCTGTCCGCTGCCTGAAGATGAACCCCTCTGGGCCTCCTCCCTCCTCCCTTCTCCCCTCCTCCTGCTTTTTTCCTTTCCTTTGCAGCAAAATTCCTGGAAAGCCTGCGCTGCCTCTAGGTCTGTGGTGCGCCAGGCCCCTCCCAGACACCAGCGGGAGGTGGCGGCCTCCTGAGCGCAGGGCGGGCCTTGCCTCCAGCAGGGTTGTGAAGAGCCCAGGCTTATTTTCCGGGAAAGCCTCGCTGCCTTGTAGGGGAATGGGGTGGAGGCGGCAGGCACGGCAGCCCCTGTGGGACTTGGTCTGAGGCCAAGCAGGCGCCGTCTGTGGGCAGGAGGGGCAGGTGAGGGCCCGGACGGCTGAGGGGGGTGTGGCCCACTATGCCTGCAGGTCAACGGGCAGTGAAGTCACCTCAGCTTCCAGCTGGGCGCTGGCGAGGACAGGTGCAATGACAGCTCTGTCCACACTCAGTTCTTTAATAATGACAGGAAGTGCTCGAAGGAAGGCAGAGGTCAGCCTGGGAGGAAGGAGGGAGGCTGGCCCTGCCCCATTGCTCCCAGCCACCATTCACCAGCGGGGCCAGAAGTCTTGAGGGCAGGAACTCTGTACGGAGAGGGCAGCCCCTCCGTTGCCTGTGTCGGGGTTCATCCGTCCTCCCAGTTTACGGAAGTGGGCGAGGTGCCCTGAGCCAGGTCCACGCAGGTCCTGGGGGTCCTGAGCCTGGGGGACACCACGTCCCTTCTGCTGTGTGTGCAGAGTGAGCGGCGGGTGGCAGGCGGCGGGGCTCCAAGGAAAGGCGACCCTGGAGGCGGCTATCTCGGAGTGCGGCTGAGGGGCCAGCTCCTCAGAGGGGGCGCCTCTGCCCTGAGTAGCCTCCAGGCCCCTGGTCCTAGGAGCCGAGACAAACGCTGGGTACCAACGAGAGAGGTGATCTCGGGGCAGGGAGGGGCACGAGGACCCCATGCCTGACGGCAACCTGGACAACCCGGCCTGTGGAACCAGCCCCGTGCAGGACGGGACTTCGGGTGCCTGCCAGACCTTGTCCCGGCCTGGCAGCAGCTCCCGAGGGGGTCTGGGGTGCCAGGGAAGTCCCCACCATGTCCTGGCAGCCTCACC